ACATTACACAGAAAACACATATCTCTTCTTCGTGAATGCAGGAAAATCTTTCTCCAAGAAAGGCACACTGGCTGTCCCTTACTCTATAATCAAAGATGGGATTTGCCATTTACTGAATAAGACTACTCAACTATTAAGTGTGATACCCTCCCATCATCTGCATTTTATCTGTATAATGTTCTGCATGATCTCCACAGTTAAAAACTGCCTCAGGTTCTACTGAAACCTCTAGCACACCAGAAATCTGGGCTATAAAAATTTCCTCTGAAATGATGCTGGATGTCCAAGTGTTGTTGTTTTACAGTTGGGCCTTGGTATCCAATGGCCTCTGGTTCCAGGACCCCCATGGATGCTCAAGCCCCATCATAAGCAATGACATAGCAAAATGATGTTCCTTATAAGGACCTTATTGCGCCACTCAAATAACCCGGCTTACCTCTTCGGAATCGAAGTCTAATTTGGGAGGCAGTTGGGTCCTATCACAAGGATTTTGCTGCCGAAGCCACCAGGCAAGTCCAGCCTGGCTGCAGCCCAGGTCCCCAGCATGTTTTGGCAGCCTTATTTCAAAACCAGGAGCTTTCTGACTTGAAAAAAATGGCTACCAAAGTGCGGCGGGTACCTGGGCTGCTATGATAGGTTTGCCTTAGGGTCGCCATAAGTCAAAAATAACTTGGAAGCACACAACAGCAGCAAATACTTAATTCATCAGAATATCTCAAATATAAATATGAAAAACTCTCTCTATATATGAAAAACTCTATATATATGAAAAACAACAATCCTGGGGTGCCCTCAATTCCTCCCCAATTAATTTTGTGTGTATAGAAACAGATACAGAAAGAAATAGAAGCTGATAGAGAATAGAGGCCCAAATGTACCTGGCAACTTAGAATTAAAGTCTCATTCTTCAAGATTGGTTTCATCTTGCTACCTTGGGGATCATTTGTTTGACTGAATGGTGGGTTACAAATTTAACAAATGAATAAATGTCTTGCTACAATATATTTTGTACTAGCTATAGTACCCAGCATAGCTTGGGAGCATCATTAACCATCATTAATGATATTTCAGTGTCAACTGCTTGGGAGGATGCCTACCCATCTCTTTGAATGCTCAAGAATTCCACACATTGCACATCTGTCTCAGTTGCCCTTGAGAGAGTATGCTTCTCTCAATTGGCCACCAAATGCACTCCTCTGTATGAAAGAAGAAGTAATTGGGTTGTCCCCGAGACCTCCCTCCCCCATGAATGTTTTGTAGATTAAATAGGCTATATGTTAAATTACCGTAGACTTCCCCAAATATTGACATTTGGGGAAATCTATCACACTATGTGTGATGGAGAGAAACTTACAAAGAGATAGAAACCTAAGTTGAGGTTGAGGCAAAACTCATCAGAATAATTCAGGCTGAACCTGCATTGCAGAAATAATGCATTTTGACACCACTTTAATTTCCATGGTTCAAACTATGAAATCCTGGGATTTGTAGTTTGTGCTGGCACTAGGGCTCTTTGAAGAGAAGGCTAAATATCACACAAACTACAGAGAAAGAAAAAGAAACATGATTTTCCTTGCCTCCAAGATGGCGCAAAGCGCCGTCTGCAAAGGGGACTAGAGAGCACTGCTTGCATTTTACATAGAATTACATGGAAGGGACCCCCAGTGACCATCTAGTCCAACCCCTTCTGCCATGCAGGAATACATAGAATCCTAGAGTTGAAAGAGACTTCCAAGGGCTATCCAGCCCAACTCCTTTGACCGTGTAGGAATACATAGAATCCTAGAGTTGGGGAGGGACCCCCAAAGGCCGTCCAGCATATGTGTGTGGTGTCCGCACATGCACCTTCAATTAGCACAGCTTCCATGATCTCAGTGTTGTTGGACTGTAGCTCCCAGCATTTCTCAGCCTTGGGTACACCAGCTAGAGGATGCTGGCACTTGCAATCTAACAATAGCTAGAAAGCCTTATGTTACAATAAGATATATAGCTTCTATCTCTACCCAAAATGATACGCATGACTCCTTCCCAAGATTTCTTGTTAAAGTGGCTGCAAATTTGCAACTGCTGGAACCTCATCTTTAATGGGAACAAGGGTGTCATTGCCATCTATGTTTCCCCTGAAGATAAGTACTTTGTAATGTGAAGTTTGGTTGAATTAATTCAGTCTCAGGTGGGCAATCAAGGGCCATGAACATTACAAAAGACATGCTTACATGGTTGCTCATAGAGTCCAACAACATCTGGATCAAGGAATCTGTGCTAGTTGAATGCATGGACCCCACATACACATGTGCTGGATGGCCTTTGGGGGTCCCTTCCCAATTCTATGATTCTATATATTCCTGTATGGCCAAATGAGGTAGGGCTGGATGGCCCTTGGGAGTCTCTTCCAACTCTAGCATTCTACATGGCAGAAGGGTGTTGGACTGGATAGCCCATGGAGGGTCTTCCAATTCTAGGATTCTATGTATTCTTGCATGGCCAAAGGAGAGCTTGGGGGTCTCTTCCAAGTCTAGCATTACATGGCAGAAGGGGCTGCACTGGATGGTCCTTGGGGGTCCCTTCCAACTCTAGGATTCTATCTAAAATGCAAGCAGTGCTAGTCCACAAGGAATTTCGACACGTGATAAGAAGAGCTTTATTAAAAGCATGGAAGAAAATTAAAAAAGAAATATATAGGAAAATTCCCTTGTGGATATCTCCTCATGAAGCTTTCTTCCGAAAGTGGACAGCAGTCAAAACATGGCTAAGATACAAAGAAATTCTAAAGAA